CGAGGTAAATTTTTGCGGCCGGAGCTGGTCGTAACCCAAAAAGTTCGTTAGTAGAGGCGTTCGTATCCCGAGGTACCACTGTATAGGGATAACTGAAAATGAACAGCATTGTTTTTTTTTTTCAATGAAAAGGTGAAATATCATGGGGCTACCTGTCAGGGTGGAAAAAATAATACTGACCTTGAAGACATTCCTGGGCACAATTTACAATGCTGCCACAGGTGTTACAGCAGGTCTCTTTCAAATTCCAGAAAACTGGAAGCAAAATATTTTGTCTAGTCAAATGTAACTTGTGTTTACAGATATAAAATCCAGACTCCGTGGTCTGTTATCATTTACCAGTTGGAAAAGTCAAATTTAACACTCAGGCTTGTATACAGTGTAACTATCAAGGCCATAAAGTATATTCCCAGCTGAAAGGAATATTCTCTGTGTAATGATAGTGTGTGAGACTAAAAGACATATTACTAACCTGCCATCTCTACTGAGACATGAACCGTCTGTTCCCATTTCACTGGTACAAATGAACAATCATCTCAAAAAAGGCAAAAAGCCATCAATTCCATAGCTGTTGACACTGACTTGCCTAAGAATTGTGCAATATATCAAGCACTCCCCTCATCTGGTTAAGTGGCGGTGATTGGTTTAGGTAAGTTAAATGCAAGCAGACCCATCTGGGATTTTTTTCCCCCAAAATTTTTGTTCAACAACTGAAATATGGGTTTTATATTTGAGCAATCTGGTATTTTGCTTGATAGAAACTGCGAAAAATCTATGATGATCAAGAACAGAAAGTTTTTGTCTCAAAAAAAAAAAATCCTGATAATACAATAAATAGTATGGCTTCTCCTTTTATCATGTTATCTTGCCCTGGTATTAGAAACGTGATTTTGTTCTTCCAGTGGAATTTGAGAATGAAAGAAATATTGCATCAAACTGATACTGATTATGAAAAATCAAGCATCATATGAGGACCTGGAATGGTATCCATGGTTTCAGCAAAAAGCATAGTGTCATGTATCTTTTTCTGGTGCACCGCTTTGACAAGAGAATCAACATGTGGTTCATGGTTGGCACTGAAAAAACCTGGGAGTATATTCAGATCCGTACTACCTGCAACCATTTGTTAGCAATTACGGAAGGCAGTGTGGTAGGATGAGTAAAATTTAGTGACCTACAAATATCTGCTCTTATAGATGTAAAACTTGCCTTAACTATTAATATGGTGCTATAAATCTTACAAAATCATCCAGTTTTGCCTGTTCTGATTTAGGTAAAACGTATATTAGAGGCACAAGAAGCTGCCAAGAATAGATTATTTTGTAAGAATAAGAAACAGTAATATACAGCTGCAACAGATCATTGATAGCCTTATGATTGCAGGGAACATGGTATTTCATATATAAATGTGTTTCTTGGATGTAAAATGATAACTTCTCAAGAGAACAGAAAACGTTGTGCTAGTGATAGGTTATCATAAACTGGCTACAACATTCTCAATTCAATTGTTGTTTCAAGTTCATACAGAAATAGGAAATGACACTGAACTCCACCAAACTCAAAAATATTCTGGATGCCTGTTTGAAAAATGGTAACATTAGTTAAAAAAAAAAAAGGTGGGTTTCCAAAAATTAACTAACATGTGTACTGAATTTAATCTGAGAGGATATTAAACTACAGCACATTATATATGAAAGAATGTTTAGTGTACAGCTAACTACATAAAACATATACAGAACCTAATTCTTTTGTAGGACCAAGCAGGATCAGGATTATCGACCAGGTGGGAAGATTAAACATGATAATCACCAAATAAAACTGATGGCCAGTAGCTTTCAAATAGGCAAAGTATTTCTTTATCAGAGGATATCAAAGTTTATTGATTAGCCCTAAGGCCTTATCAAAATTATTTCTTTATACGAACAATAAAGAGGTCATATTATGAAGGAGGAGCTGATTTCCTCCCACTCCAACGTTTTTGTTCTCTTTTATTTTTATTTGGACTGATTTTAATAATTTTATTTTGGTTTACAGTGTTTTTATGTAAACAGTTATGAAATCTTTGGGGATTAAAGTTCCCATGCAAAACTAATTTCCTAATACCATTTTTGAATAGATTAATGCTGTTTATTTATTTATTTGGTGTCTATCCTCTTTTTCTACCAAGAGGCTATTCAAAGTAAATAATGGAGGTTTATCACCTGCTATAAGGGCTGACAGCTATTGGATTCTTGGTTTTAGAAACTAAATATTGGTTACACATTGTGGTCAGTGTTTTCTTTATACTTCAGTTATGGACTTCTCAAACTGGCTGGTCCCTGTTACAAACAGGTAATTTGATGGAGTTCTGTTTACTCAAGCAGAGTTTCCTGAATAGTTATGTAAGAGATGAAACTAAGGATGGAGGGGAAGGGAAAGATCTATGTTAAGCACGGATGTGGAAGAAATGTAAAAGAAATATAAATTATGATAAGGTCACAATTCTAAGAATACCTAGCTAGGTTAGGGTTAGTCTCACTGAATTCTACAATGTTTTCTACGGAAAGTGATAGGCGTTTCAGAAACAATCCAGAACAAAATATAACCAAAAGCAGAAATAGCTACAGTAAGCTTGTTTGTGAAACACTCTCTTTTAGCTATGTTTGACAATTCTCTGTAGAATGACTGTGCAGACTTTATTAAAGTACACAAAAAAAAGATGAAAACCCCAAGCAGAACTGAAAAAACATTTCAACCAAAAATGGAAGGTCTGTAACCCAAATTAATTTCTCTTTAAACAGTTGAAGAGTTTTATGAGTTACGATATGTATTTCCACAACATCTTCTGAACTTCTTCCAAGATAAAAATTTCAGCAGAGAGCCTCACACTGCATGCTATGTGCCCATGAAGCTCAAATTACTCTAGTTGGCAACACGTCAAAAATTATTTCCATATTCTACAACTGAAACTTATCCTTACTTCAGCTGCGGCTAGTGATGTCACCTCCATTAGATTCCCTGCTCGGAAAGCAAACACAGCAGCTGCCAGCACTGAAAAAGAATGTGCAGTATTTAGACTGGCGGCCATACTAATTAGTTGTTAAAGATACTTTGGTCTAGCTATTCTTGAGTTCGGTTCAATATTCTTCTTGTTTGGGAATGGATTGCCAATTTGTGACAGTTGAAGAAAAGCTATATGAAAATATTTAAAGAGTGCTTCAACATTCACTGTTTACATACAATCCAAGTTTTCTCTAAAATACATTACAGTATTTGGTATACATGCTCTACCCATGCATTTGTCTACTCCTTTATTTGGTAAGGACCATCACATGGGTGCCTTGATGTCCATGGCAGTCCATGTCTACTGCCCCCATTTTGAGGCTAAGGAGAAGGGGTGGGTGGGGTGAAGAAAGCAGCTGCAACCCCACTCCCTTGGTGTAAACAGGAACACATTCACACATGAGCAGAATGTTTCTCTTTTTCTGATAGAAATGGTAGCCACATGCATCTAAAGGTTCTGTCTCCTTCCATTTTGTTCTACCTTTTCAGAGAAACAATAGGGTTTTGCCATTGTTCTTACGGGGAGCCACCACCAACTTTCTCCTCATTCTGCCACCACAACAAGCATGGGCAAAGTCTTTTTTCAAAAAATGGGAATCTCCTTCTATGAACAGCCACGGTAAGAACTCCCATCCCCAGAAAGTTTACCAGCAAGAATTTCCAGAGAGTTGTATCCCAGAATTCTGTCCCACAAAAGAAGCAGCTGATCTGTAGCCAAGTATCCAGAGAATGCTCGCACCATCCATTTAAATGATATTCTTAGCCTGCAAAACCGTGAAAAACACATAAAGAATTATACTCTCCTCAGATACACCATGTCTGTTGATTTGCCCTTTGGCTTGGATTCTTTCATATAGATTTCTGCACCCTACATTGAAACATTTAAATCTCCCCTAATTGATACGTCAGCTATAAAAAGCTATTCTTCTTCACACTAGATTTAACCTGATGCTGGTTAATTCAAGATGTACTTGCTACCAGCTTCTTAAACTGACAGTATTATCTCATGCCAAACTAAAGAATTCTAAAAAAATTAACACCAGTTCTATATGTAGAATTTGTGCTAGAAATAAGAGTGAATGTATGTTTGTGTGTTTAGATAAGCTTTATTTTATACCTTTGTGCAGATGCCTTAAAGCAAGAGCCTTCAACTTTTTCAGAGGTGAGACCTACTTGGCATTCAAATGTGCATTTTAAGGGCCCCTTCTGTAGCATATATCCCATATAATACCTTTCTCTTGCAGCCCATCCTTAGGGTTTGATCTATCAGCTGAAAGACCGACATGTTGAAGACACCAAACCTGTATTGTTTTTGAGCAGGATCATTGTGCTAACACATTCACCTCTGAGGTTTAAACCAATTCTCCAGTATTGGGGCCAGTGATATTCCAATGAAGTCATTGCTTGGAAAAAGTGGGTATGCTTGACAGAGACTACAATAAACTCTTAAATCAAAGGTTGTGATTTTCATGGTCTTTACATATGGTTTGCAGCCACACTTCATGCAATGTTCAATGCCTTCACTTTTTTGGCAAGTTGTTTTTCAATGCATTTCCATTGTTTGTACTTGCCTGAGTTTACTTTATTTGTTTACTGCCAAAACAGTGTATTTTGGCACATTATTTAAAACTGTTTTATACACTAAAACATTCGATTGTTTATATGACTGAAAATGGCCAAGTGAGCACTTTCAAATAAGATTAACCAATAGCCACTAATATTCTCTTCATTATTATAAAATTATGGGGATATCTATGTTGCACATGTGTCTTTCCACTCCAGAAAGATCTAAGTGTTCCTTTGGTGTAACATTTAAATTTTGGGGGGTATTTATCTTATTTTAAAAAAGGCAATGATGTAATTACAAAATAATATACATGGTGTGGAGAAAGTTGGCAGACTTGTCTTAGAAAACTAGAATTCAGGGTCATCTCCTGCACCGGTACAAGCAGACACAGGATCTTTTTAAAAATTAAAAGAGGAAAAAGAAGTCAGGCCACATCTACAGTGGGGCAAAAAAGTATTTAGTCAGCCACCAATTGTGCAAGTTCTCCCACTTAAAAAGATGAGAGAGGCCTGTAATTTTCATCTCCCACTTAAAAAGATGAGAGAGGCCTGTAATTTTCATCTCCCACTTAAAAAGATGAGAGAGGCCTGTAATTTTCATCTCCCACTTAAAAAGATGAGAGAGGCCTGTAATTTTCATCTCCCACTTAAAAAGATGAGAGAGGCCTGTAATTTTCATCTCCCACTTAAAAAGATGAGAGAGGCCTGTAATTTTCATCTCCCACTTAAAAAGATGAGAGAGGCCTGTAATTTTCATCTCCCACTTAAAAAGATGAGAGAGGCCTGTAATTTTCATCTCCCACTTAAAAAGATGAGAGAGGCCTGTAATTTTCATCTCCCACTTAAAAAGATGAGAGAGGCCTGTAATTTTCATCTCCCACTTAAAAAGATGAGAGAGGCCTGTAATTTTCATCTCCCACTTAAAAAGATGAGAGAGGCCTGTAATTTTCATCTCCCACTTAAAAAGATGAGAGAGGCCTGTAATTTTCAGGCCTCTCTCATCTTTTTAAGTGGGAGAATTTGCACAATTGGTGGCTGACTAAATACTTTTTTGCCCCACTGTATGTGCCTCAAATCAATATAGACTTACGTTTAAATTTAAAGAACAACACTTACGGCTGTGCTCCAATTTCTCGAAGATGATAAAACAGCTGTGGGAGATGAGTTTGAAGAAGACTCTCAAACAGCAAACATAGTGATACAATCCCCTTTTAAATAAGGAAGAAAAAAAATAACAGACATCCTGAAGGTACATCTCTTGCACTGATTTTAAATCACTAGAAGACGTTAGAAAATATTCAATAGAGATAACAGCCTGTTAAATTTTAAAGCATCAATAAGCAAAGACTATATTTACAAACAATAAGAAACCATTTGCAGTTTGTGATATTAATGGTTTTGTTTGAATGCCTAAAACTGTTTTCGAAGGACTTGCTTTAAGTATTGCTTTTTGTTAGACCCAAAACCTGAAACCCAGGGCTACCTCTGTTTTTTTTTTTCTGCATCTTTCCCAAATCCCTTGCTTGGGAAGAGGCAAGATCAAATAAGAGAAGAAGGAACTTCAAAGGCAAACCAAATGCAGATTCTCCATGAAGATGTCCTTGAGGACATCTTTTGCTGGGTTAACAGCTTTGGTGGCTGGTATAGGTCATAGATAGCCAAGGAAACTACCCTCACACAAGTTCTATTCTTTTTAATTATTGTGCATTATTCAGCAATCATTCCAAGCAAACTTACAGAAGAGTGAGAAGAGATAGAATGAAGTCTGAAGAAATAACGCACATATATTTCACGAAATATCTGATACAGCTTGGAGGGCTCATTGTACAGAAAACAAAGTGGAGCAACTGAAAACATAAAAAATATTAGTTAGCATTGGAAAATAATAACATGTACTGTATAATAATTAAAAACCTCTCTCTCTTTCAAGAAGATGAATTTATATGTAGAAGATATGCTGAAATAACTACAGGTATGGAATAATAATTTTTTCTCTTAAGATTCATTCAGATATTGGTTACCAACATTTGGAAGAATTAAGCAGCACCTCATAAAGGTCACTGTGTATTATGGTTACTAATATCAAATTATGCTAGATTTGCCTGAAGGCATCGTTTGTGTGAATGAAGATCACCACATCGGTTGTGTATAGCAGATCATACTGCTTTGGAAAGCAGCTGTGTTGTTTTTGTGGGCTGGCAACTACTGAAGAAATTGGCAGGTGCATAAACACTGCTAAGAATAGCACCTCCATGCAAATGTAGTTTTTTTTCAAGCTCAGAAAAAGTCATCCAAGCAGGACCAGGACTTGAGATTCCCCAGGTTATAAAGCCATGAGAGGTAAGCCTAATATAGAAGTTAACCTGTTTGACAACCATGACAATTTCCAGCCTCTACTAGTAATCACAGCCATCAATTGAAGAGTTTAACACCAGTGACCCATCTTATTATCATCAAAACATCCAGGAACAATACTGTTCCTCAAGAAGGAACTCAAGAAGAAATGCATGAATCACAATAGTTAGGAGGAACTCAGACACATATTCTGTGTAGCTGTGTTTTCTATTCTTCCATGGACATTGTTCTGACACCTTGACTCAAGTATCCATTTTGCCCAAAAGCAGCCAAGCCATTGGCTTCAAAAACTACTAGGAATAACACTCTGGAAGATTGCAAAGAAACAAAAGCCTTATTTATGCATCTCTTCCACAGGTTGCTTCCAGATGTATGCAAACATAAGAAATGCCAGCTTAAATGCCAACTCATCTCTGTATAGACTAATCCAGAACCATGACTAGAAAACCTGTACAATATTGATGGATTCCCATCTCCAGTCCAGAGCATCATCTGAACATGCCTCACGATAGAAAGAATTTTTATTGTGGTTAATGATCAGTCCATAAAACTAAAATTAATGAATTAATTAGGTAAGCATCTCAATCAAACTGTTGCACATTGTACATATTATATGACAAAATTTGGCCCCACTTAAAGAAATAGAGTCGTTTGAGTCCAAAAGTAAGAGTTTTAAATAAAACTGATCAGAAGGACCAGGAAATTTAGTTAAAATGTGGGGTTAACAACTCATGATGAGTGTCAGCATAAAACAAACAATAGAATAACTTATGTTTGGTGGCTTCAGTACCTTATGGTATTTATAGCATCACTTTTATTAAATAAACTAATCAATTAACCAAGAACGCATCCCCTGAATTTTTCTTTCACTTCCCTGGATGAACCTATTTATGTTAAACCCTAAAATAATTCCAGAGTCCAAGCCCCCACTGTTTTTTCTTCCTACTTAACCTAATTCCCACAATATTTATGAATTTTAGCCCCAGCAGACTAGGCCTTAAAGGTAACTCACTCCTCTTCTGTTGTATTTCCAGCCCCTATTTCTTTCACTGAGCCAATTTCTCATCCTATACCCACAGGGAAAGCATTCTGCCCTAGTATATAAAAACTAGCTCCATATGTGAATAGGTTGAAGTTGCCAACCCCTTTCAAGTCATTTAAATGACCAGTGGAAGCCATATCTTACACGTTTGAGGACAATTGTGCTGGTAGTCAATGGGGGAATTCAAGTACTTGCAAGTGCGTCCATATGGCCCCATTTTGCAACACACCTTTCTTCAAAGCATTAAAGGAACTGTGCTTGCACACTACTTGGCAAGTATTTCCAACTATCCCCGCATATGTGTGTGTCCACAGCCACTTCACTGGCGATCCCTGGAGAAGCACTAAATGTGTAAGCAGGTCACATGCAGACAACAGTAGTCATCTTTTGAAGCAACCACTTTCAAGGGACACAGTTGCTTTAATGACTTAAAAAAGTGTACTTGGCAAACCTCCTTTGTTGAATGCTTCATATAGTCCTATTTTGTGGTCAAGTGAAGCAGAAGCACTTTTAAACACCTTTAAATCTGCTTTAAATCAATTAGTCCTCTGTTCAGTCTCCCTTTGTGGATGGCTGATCCTGTTTACATACACATAGCTCTTCTTGTACAAGGTTGTTCTTCAGCCTTAACACTTTTGGAATCATAGCCTTTGACTGGAGGCATCAAGTTGCTAAATAAACATCAGCTTCCTATGGAGCTGACATGCTTTAGTGTCATCCTATGCAACTCTCATGCACCATTTTTAATTTTGATAGTAATGGCAAGCTACTTACCATACATTGAAAAGCCATGGAAAGGAATGACACCTGAAGAAAAAAAAATATTTCACTTAGTGTCAAAATAGTTGTTTTCAGAAATTCGAAACTTGGAAAAAAAAAACTCCAGACTTTTTCTGCAAAACAGCTCACCAGCAAAAAATTCTGCTGCATAAAGAGTTAGAATGAAAGATTCAGATGCCCTCTGTGGCCCTTTTGCTACATATGATGGGGACAAAGTTGGGGCAATTATTGTCAATTACATATATTACATTGGTACCAATGTACCACTGGCACCTACTTTTTCCTGGATGCATTAGAGGGGATTCAGAGTGCACAGCCTAAAGAACTGGACAAATTCGACAACATGTGCACTTGATCCTTGTTCTTCCTCAGCTAATTAAAGCAGTCACAAAACTGCCTTATGACAAAATACTTCATCAACAGGTTGAAGGGAGCAGCATGTGCTACTCTAGAGGAAGATCTATTTCTAGTCAACCTTTAGAAGGCTGTACTAAGATCTTTATTTCTTGAGAGCCCACCATAACCAGGGTCGAATTTGTCATTTCTCAGCAAATTGCTTCAACATGTAGTCATCTTAGCACCAAGAATTTTTGGATGAAAGAGATCATCTAGATCTATTTCAGTTTGGCTTCAAGCCTGGTTTAGAGCAGCTTACATAATAATAATAAAAAAAAAAACAGTTGCTGCTTTGTGACATACACTTTTTTTAAAAAAAAGGAGAAGAAAAAGCTGGTGGGGAAGAAAATCAAATTCAGCACCAGTTTTTAAATCTTTTAAAATTCCTATCATGAAGAAATACGATGGATGCTGGGGGTGGAGTAGATCAGATGATACTACAATGTACAGTACAGGGGTTGCAATGGCTCATCTCCAAAGAAAAGTTCAACCAGATGCTTTTTGGGAGGTGGGAAGAACAATTCTTGTCATGCTGACCACAACTGCTAAAGGAGCATCTGATTGTACAGGCAGATGATCACAATAGCTTCTGTCTCTTAAGGATTGAATCTGTCACCCTGCTGCTTAATATCTACATCTGAACGATAGAATTTTGTCACCAGCACCTAAAGCTTCATTTCTGTTTCTCCCCTAGTATCTAAAGGTGTAAAGGGCTGAATGAGCACATACAAACTAAAGCTTAATCCAGAGAAGACAAACATGTTCATGGTCAAGAAGAAGCTTGATTCTGGAGTATAGAATGAAACCATTTCAGACTGAAATGTACTTCATGTGAAAATTCAATTGCTTAGTTTATTTAAATTTATTGGCCACCTAACTCCAGTGGACTCTGGGTAGCATAGAAAACTAGAGAAAACACAAACCCCAGGAGAGAGAGTGCCATCCTTACCTCTGGGGGGATGCTGTTTCAGAAGGTGGGACCACAACAGAGAAGGCACACTTCCTCAGTCCCACAAGATGGCAAGGTTTAATGGAGGAGACCTGGAGCACACCCACTCTCCTGGAATGTACTGGGATGGCAGGAACTGTTGGAGGTAAGTGGTCTCTCAGGTATCCACGCCCTATGTCATACAGTTCCGGGCACTTCTGGACTAAACTTTGCATCTGGATGAACAGTTGGCAATGGTTGCTAGAAATGCCTTTGCTCAAGTTAGCTTAGTGTTGTAAATGAACTTCCTGAAGAAGTCATACAACTATGCCTCAGTTAAATTAATGCTGTCATACTGTAACCTACTTTAAATAAGCTACTTTAAACATTTGGCAAAACTGTTTCAGGATGTATAACAAGGTGTAGTGGGATCAAATTGCACTCTGGTCACAATCCCACTACATCAGACCCTTTGCAAGTTTACTTCTGGGCACAATTCAAAGAGTTGATGATTACCTATACAATTCTAAATAGCTTAAGTCCAGAATACCTGAACAATTGCCTCTTCCCACTCATTTTCTCATTGGCCTAAAAGCATAAGAAAAATCCTTTCTTTGTCTCCTATTTAAAATGGAGACATGACTGAAATAAAAAGGGCAGCTACATTTGCTCCAAGTGGCTAAAGGTCTCTAAATGCCTTTACAAGTTGAAGAAATTGAAAACACCTTTCTCCTGGCTAGCTTTTGAGAGTTATAGATTGATTCAAAGACTGTTCAACTATCTTGGCTACTGAATTTTTGATACCTTTGTCATTTCACTTAATGTATGTGTTGGTGCAGTAGGGTGGTTTTTAGTTGTTATGAGCATGAGTCATGCAAAGGCATAAGGAAGTGTAAAATATGCAAATACATTAATAATGTCTCTAAGGAATTCTGCCTTATTTTCCAATCTAAGAAATAATCAAGAAGTGGCTTCTAGTTTTTCACATACAAATTTTATTTTCCAACACTGAAGCAGCCCTAAATTCCTTCCATACCCATATATTGTCTAATAATCTTCTGCTCACCCCTTTTCATTCCATCATTCCTAGGCCTCCACACATTGACACGCTCCCTTGTTGTGAGGATTTGTAGGGGTTTTTTTTTAATGCCAAAGATACTTAATTCAATAGGCACTTCTTTCTTTTCTTCAACAGCAGGGTAATGTTATACATATCAAGAAGAATATATTATCAAGCTGGGCAGTAAGGCATATGATTCGAATCACTTTGGAAGACCCTTCTGAACCGTGGAGCCAAACAGAAACTTTATTAGAGCTAAAAAATTGTATAAGTCAATGGCTCTTTCACCCAAAACATTTTTAAAAAAACAAGATTGAAAATGTTTTTACTAAAATGATTCTCTAAATTTGGAAGAATAAATATATAGCCTTGATAAAGAATCCTTGTCCCCTAACCCCTTTAATAGCATACTCAAAACAAGACAATCACTATGGTCTGGCTCAAATGAAAGCTTTGACTATAGAGAATAGAGTCTTTACAGAATAAAAGATTTCTATAGCAATGGGAACCTCTCAGCAAAGAATAGATAGAGCAATGAATAGGTAACAAGTTATCATGGTTTTTCTGATATTAACAGTGGTAGATTCACCTCAGCTTCAGTGCAAGAACTTCAGTGGAAGAATATACATCGCTGGCACTTGACTCCAGTCAGATTGGTACATATAAATCACAATTATTCTCCAAATGTTGGAGAGGTAGTCAACAAAAAAGGTCTTTCTTTCATTTGTAGTGGTGATGCGATAAAGCTATACTTTTTTGGTGTAAAATTTCTGGTGAAATAAACATCACATGAAACCACATTTAACATCTACATGAAACCACTGGGTGAGTCATCCGCCAGATTGAGGCCCTTTATCATTAGTATGCTGATGATACCCAATTATATTTTTTGACCCAGGCCAGCCAAGTGCAGCTGTCGAAGTTCTGTTCCAGTGCCTAAAGGCTGTGTGAGCCTGGATGGGAAGGAACCAACTCCACCTCAATCCTACCATGACTGGGTAGATGTAGCTGTTGGGACCACTCAGATTTCGGTATTTTTCATCTTCACTCCTGGATGGGGTTGCACTTCCCTAGTAAGGAGTAGTATGCAACTTGGGGGGGGGGGTCTTGGATTCACAACTCTTACTTGAAGAGCAGGTGGCAGCTATAGCCAAGAAGGCCTTTGAACAGCTTTATCTGGTATGCCAGTTGCTTTCCTAGATTGGCTGGCCCTCCAGTCATCACATCCTTGTCCCCTCATGATTCAACTATTGCAATGTGTTCTACGTGGGGCTGTCCTTGAAGACCACTTGGAAGCTTCAACTGGTCCAGAATGCAACTGTACTAGCAATGATGGGCTTGTCTTGGCATGCTCATGTGACACCTTTGCTCCGCAAGCTGGTTGCCAATGTGCTTCCAGGTGCAATTCAAGGTGCTGATTATTACCTATAAAGCCCTACATGGCATAGGTCCTGGCTATTTCAGGGACATCCTGTCTTCTGCAGCCTCTGCCTGCCTGGTACAATTGGGCAGAATGGGTGTGCTCTGGATCCCCTCAATTAAACAGTGTCATCTATTGGGACTCAGAAAGCATGCTTTCTCTGTAGCGGTGCCTCTCCTCTGGAATGAGGTCCACAAGATCCATACAGCATTAAATCTGATGACGTTCCAGAAGGCCTTGAAAACCTGGCTATTTACCCAGTCCCTGAAGTAAGGTGGATGGACATCCCTGCTTGTGATGTTTTATGTTTTGCTTTGATGTTTGGAATGCCTTCTTGTAATTATTTGTAGCTATTTCTGTTAACTGTTCTGGTTAATTCTCTGTATTTTGTTGTTTTTATGCTAATGTTATTGGTGTGAGTCACCCAGATTCAGTTGGAGTCAGACACATCAAAACTGAATATAAATAAATAAATCACTACTAAATAAAGAATTGAATGTTCCCCAGAGTTAGGATTATTGCACTTATTTACAGCATTGAACCTCAAGCTCAAAAACAAGGAACTTATTTACTTAATCTAAGCAGCTAAAATATAATTGCCCAACACTGGAAAACTTTAGATAATTTAACAATTGAGTGGATTAGCCACGTCTCTTTTATCACCATATTAGAAAAGATCACAGATAAAGTTAAAACAATGAAACACCAGAGGTAGGAACCACAATTCTATCAAATTCGGGTGGACTTTATATTTTACCTTAATTGCAACAGATCTACTATTGGCAGTGGATACACAGTGGATATGAATGTATATATTATTTTTTTTCTCTTTGTCTACCTTTTAGTGGATTTTTTTTTAATTTTCTGTATACATCATGGATTTATGCTACCGTGTCTATTAATCACAGTTAAAAAAATACTTATACAAGAAGAAAGTTTTGCTGGATACCTTCTCTTGGAGAAGGAGGCTTCTTAAGGAGTTATGAGGCCTGTGTAAATCATTCAATGAAGCACCCCAAATCCTTTCCTCAAGGCCACAAAACAGCTGCTCTAAGGCTTGGTTAGCTGTTTTCAGCACAAACACACATACACCACCCCCTGGTCTTCTGAGCCAGCTTCTGTATGGCCAGAAGACCTTGGGGTGCTTCAAAGCAAAAAGGTTCTGCCAACTTTTTGAGTAGCTATTATTTCCCTTCATCCAAAGAACAAACACAATTCAGAAGAATTCACTCTTAAAAATGGTGTAGTTTCCCCTGTTTCCACTAGAGGAGGCAACAGTATAACATCTTTACCATTTGGTGGATAAAAGACAGCATATTGTTCCATTCCAAGTTTCCCTACAAAAAACAGAAATAACAAACCAAGAATCAGATACGCAGCAAGAGAATGCAAGGTTTTCCATAATTAAAATGCAGACCTGTCACAATGACAAAGAGTGAAAAATTACAGTAAAATTCAGAGGTCAGGAAAGTAATAATTCCTATAGAGCTGTAAAATAAAGCTGTCCTCAAAGGAATAAACTAGAATGAAGACCAATAATTAATTCACTTTATTCCAGGTATTATGCAATATATATTAAACTTTAATAGCAACCAATAGAACATCTTAAAAGTTTATTTTAAAGAATGATTTTTCCAGAAGAATACTGGAATATATTAAATTTATTTACCCTTTGCATATAAGAACCACATCTATTGCAAAATTCACAAATAGTGCATTTCTGTTCTCTTTTTTTTCCTACCCTGTTTTGAAGGAAACATACATTTGTAGATTTCTTAATTTTAAAATTATAGAAACAATGCTAAATATTACATATATGTAAAACATCTCATTGAAAAGCAACTGAAAGCAGGAAAATAAGAAATCCACACATAAGCTATGGCAGAAAGTAGGGTAAAATATTCACATTGTCCCTCAACAGAAATAATTCAGTAGGGCACTGATTATCAAGAGTTTTCATTTTAAAAAGGAATACAAGAAATCAGGCTTACTCCCAGTACCACTGTCAGCTTTTTACTTCAGTTGTAGCTTCAACAGCTGGATTACACAGAAGAGAAAAAAAGGTTGAAAAATGTTCCCTTGCAGGGCCTACAATACACATACAGTGGGGCAAAAAAGTATTTAGTCAGCCACCAATTGTGC